CTGTGTTAGACATTATTTTAATATTGAAATAGCGATGGGGACTGAGCACTTTTTGTCGCGGTTTGGGCGGTGGCCGGAACCATGAATTTCATCCCAGCTCTACAATTCTCCGGAGATGAAGATCTCGCCCACCCCTCGATTCCACGCAGGGAGCAACGGAGGCGCCGCTCCTCCGAGCGCTTCCTCGGAGACCCTCGTCCTCCCTACCTCCCCCCCCTCCCCCAGCCCCAGAAAGCTCCCTAACGACGCCGCAGGGCCGTCGAGGAAGAGGCTGAGGGTCATGCCCACCCTCGTCTTCACCACGTTCGTGGGAACGCTCGCGCCCGAGAATTCGCGGGTTCGACCTCTCTCCCGTCCGCGGAGGAGAGAGGACTGGGATCCTAAACGATGCAGGGTCGGAGATCAACCACCCCGACCGAGACAGTCGCTCGAATCCCATCGGAGAGATACTGAAGACGAACCATCGGAAACCTCTCTCGATTCCGACGACTGCGACGGGAGGAACGAGAGAACGAATGGCAAGGAACTGGGACTACCTCCCAGGAACAGACAGAAAAATCCTCTTCCCCCATCGGTCCCTCTTCTCAACGGCGCAAAGCAAGAACCAACCGACCCAGAGGCAAAGGAGACGGAACCGGCGACACATGAGGAGGAAGAGATGAAAGCAGACCCAGAAGCAGCCGAGACCGAGTCAGCGCCAGAAGAGACAGACGTGGCGAGGGACGCCACAGGCGCGAGTCGCGTCCTCCACCCCCTCTCCCCCAAGACTGCAGATCTTCATCGTCTTCCGCGTTCGCGGGACTCCGAAGCATCCGGTCCAGACCCTCCCTACCGTCGATGGATCCGACGGCTCCGCGGGAAGCTACTCCGACGCGGCGGTTGTCTCTGCTCCTACTACCTCCCCACCGCCTACAGAATCTTCTCTCAGGGATGTCATCCTCCCTTCCCTCCCGAAGCTCCTGAATAAATTTTTATTCTCCATCTTTCGAGACCGAGGGGTTCAGTCTCTCCAAGAAATCGCCGCAACTGAATAAGTCAAGATGATATAAAGATGAAGTGAGAATGACTGCCTGCCGAGGTGACAGAAGTGGCTGGTCGAATGGTCGCCTGCTTCGTGAGTGCTTCCTCCCCCCTCCCCCCCCCTTCCCGGGAAGGTCTCATCACCCCGCGACTCGGTTTTTTTTTCCGGTTGCCTTCCTTTCCGGAAGATCTTCCGAGGCCATGCGAAATGTAGCACCCCAGTGACTAATCACCTTCCATTCTTGGGTGTCATGAGTTCCCACCGAGAATGGAAAAACAATATTAATTCTTCTATCGTCCATTCGTCATTCGTTGGCGATAGTGTGTACCAGGTAGACGGGAAGGACGGTTGTGGGAGAAAAGGAATGATTCCTTCTGATCAATGGCGCTCCAAGACGTGTGTCAAAAGGAATCGACGTTCGTCCAGAGAACCACTTCATTAAAGGATTATTATTGATGTGTTAGCATTCATCCATTCATCCAGATACTCATCGTCCGACTTGCCGTGACGTGGACTAATGGAAAGGGACAATATATGAACTCGACCTCGAACCTCTAGAGAGGAGGAGGAGGAGGAGGAAAGAGTGAGAGGACAGAGTGTTCCAGACATCGCTACTGTCTCCAAGCGTCCGGACTAGGGTCCTGTTCGTAATCTGGAACCTGGCTATTTCTATTCGGTTGGGACGGAGCACCCAAGTGCTGGTTGAAGCCGGAAAGAACAAAATCAGAAATAGCAAGGACGAGACCGGTGAGTGGGCATGCGACGGTTGGAGCCCGAGCAACCCCTTTCGATTTCATTGTGTTCGCCGTGATTTCGACTAATCACGAGATAAGGTGCGAGTGGTGCTACTTCGAGGGTGAGCTAGTTTTTGTTGATCTTCTCTCAGAACTTCATTGTTGTTTTACGAACTGAAGCTGTCGCACTCGCTTGGTTGTGCTGAGGACATTAGAACACTGATGATTAATATCTCTGGTATCTTCTTGTATTTGTAACTGTATGTTAGGTAGTAAAATTAGAATAAATATAATCTGTGTGAAACCTGGTTCACATAAGAATCCTTGCCTAAGGTAACTGATTCCGTATTAACCACTATGAACCTTTCCAAAGGGAACAAATTCTTTCAATCAGTAACGATAAGGCAGTTTGCCAGTAAGATCATAAATACCTCTTGTAACCAAAGTCTTACCGGCCACATCAGAGTACCGATCGTACCAGAAGCGCGACCGAGACCCCTTCGAAGAAGTTCTCCCGTTTCTTCCAGAAAACGACGAGGGAGGCAGAAACACACCAAGGAAAAATCATAGCCCTAGTTGGTATTTCCGAAATCAGCTTACCTTAATGCTTAATCTGGAAATTAATCTCACAAACAACCTTCTCCGACAACTCACTCATGTCAACAGTAAGAAAAATACCAATTTTCTGAGGAATATCCTGTAAAATTGTTTTCTCCACCAGTACGGAACCATCCTCGTCCGCCAGGGGATGAAGATGAAACAAGATGGGCAAACCCAGTCCAGTAGTGGGCCTCCTTTCATTTAAGGAGACCCTCATTTTATCACCTACTTGAACAAAATGCCGTCTCTTCCCGGTCCTCGACCATCAAAAATCTAATTTCTCAGTTAGACTTGGCAAATCTACCCATGGTGCCCATTAAATGATGACGGGAGGATGGAGGCTTGTGCGTGGTTCGATCCATCTGCCACGAAGGGTTGTAGAGAACTAACAGTCGTGGGGGACACGACGCCGAGCCGACGGCCTGGGTCTTATGCGCATGCGCATTGTGGTTAGTGGTGTCTAAAGCAGTGGTTCTCAACCTTCCTTTTACTCCCATTGAACCTTCATGCATTTGGGGGGTGACACCTCCCAGGTTGAGAACCATTGGTCTAAAGGGCTCTCAAGAACTCATACCTTCCCCCCACCCCTCCCCTCGTCAATATTTCAAATCCAAAATTCGCGATAAAAATGGCCATTTTGGGGCAAATTCGCCACAAACGAACTCAGTCTGTGTCTTGTTCATATCTACCTGCTTGTCAATTTTTGCATTAGTCAGGCCAATATTTTTCTTTGTTATCGTCGGACAACCAAGGTGTGACACACGAACACACGGACGGACAGGACGGGACCATAAGAGGTCTTTTTCCTTTCAGGAAAGAAGGTCCACTAAAAAAAAAAGAATAGAACGAAAAAATATGTAACTAACAGAAAAAAATTAGCTAGGCATCGCTCACTGACTGAATTGTCATCAGATCAAGCACTGTGAGAAGTACCACTAGCTGTGGGAAGGAAGGACCAGACGCCAAGACAGCCAAACTCTAATTCGAACGTCTCAGTCGTGAAATCCGACAGGATCTCACGTCGGCCGGCAAAAGACGATGGAGAGGGATCCCTTGGGACAGCACTCGGCCCGCGACTACGATCGAATCCTCAAGTCCATTGTTGTTTCTCTGTTACCTTCCCAACCCTGCTTATCTACTTCAATTTTCTCAAGAGCTGACTTGGATTACTTGGATTGATATCAACTCACCGAAGTTGTAGACAGGGTTGCCAACTCTCCCGGTTTGATCGGGATTTCCCCGATTTCTCTGCTGTTCTCTCACCTTGAGGCCTTGCATTCATCCAAGTCCTTAATAAGGCAATGAACGATGGCTATCATATCATACTACTACTACTTAACATCAGAGCAAGGGGCATAAGTTAAATTAAGATGAGAGCGACGCCTGCCCCGCCCCCAACGACCCGGTGAACGAACTCCTTCGGGCATAGATTGCCTAGGTCCTGCCTAGAGGCTATTGTACGTCATGAACTTCGTCGGTAAGACTGCTGAACCATGCAGGAGGTGACGGTAGACTGAGACAATATTAAGCTCGATTCACAAAAGCTGTCCATGAAGAGAACCAAGTAATATAGTTCCCGACGAATAGATTGACAGTTTGGTCCTCGGGCAGGGTGTGAAGATGAAGTGCGCCGTCTCTGCTGGGTCGAAGAGCCCCAAGTATTTCCGGTATAGGTATTGCCAGTGTTTACGTATTTCAGCCCCTTCTCGTGTTATCTTTCCTTCGCCGTTATCGCAGATTTTCCTCGTCTCCTTCCTTTTTTTAATGTTTCAATGGTTCCGCAGATCTGCAAGCATTGTATAGCTGAGGCTAAGACTTAGAGGTTCCCGCGGAATAGGCGTGGGCCTCGATTGTTGGGAGTAACCTGCTATAGGGTGAACTCGGGAACAATCACTGGATCCGTAAAACTCAGCAGGTCGGTCGTACTCCCTTGTCTTATATCTACCCAATTTTGCGTCTCCAGTGAAGGCCTAATGTTTGGACTATAGTGCGCTATGAGGATTACTAGACTCGTGATTTCGTATACTAGGGTAACATTGTATAATCAAGGAGTTATGCGTGTTCAGATCAACCTTGAATGAAAAAGCAGGTTTAGGAGTACTAATAATCAGATGCACCAAATATTGAGTTCATTCCTGTAGTTCCTCTGATATGATATCATGAATCTTAAGCTCAAAACACTTTCTGGTTGCACCCTGATAACACTTTCCTTTGTAATTCCTGTTCTTGAGAGCTCCTTTGGTTCCTTTGTTATTTGGTTTTCAAGCCCTTTTCATTGGTGTGAATAAGTTTAGGCCAAGGGCTGAAAGTTTACATGGAGAGAAGTCATGTTTTTGACCTTTGAACCTCGTATTATCACAAACAACCAATATTGATTTTTGGAAAGCTGCATTTAATCCATTAATTTCCCTTACCCACCATCATACTAACTCCCAGATCTATTCAATGCATTCTTGATTTCTGTCAGTGGGATGTAACCCTGACAGTAGAAAGCCTTTTTGATGTTGCATTACATATTCTTGATGTAGACTAACAATGAAACTGGATTGGATCATGTAGTACACAGTTCTTTCACAGGAAATTTCACCTATCATTGAAGATTCATTTGGAAGACAATGTGGTTGACAGCATGTACTGTGACTGATGTATCATCATGTCAGCAGCCAAGCTATAAGTAACTTACAGTATAGTTTGAATGCTGGGCTTAGAATGTGGAAGTCACCATTTCCTGCACTAAGAGAAGCCTTGATTACTAATGTTGAGTGAAGTAGCTCAGAAAGAACATGGCAATACCCTACTCCAAATAGGAAGAGAAGTTCTGGAGTTTTAAAAATACTTTAAATAATTTTTTTTTAATGGAATAGTCTCTCAAGAGCAGCATGAGAAATGACTGATTTCATGTTCAACTATATTCTTATAATCCAATGTCTGCAAAAACCTGATGCACATCAATTTGGGACTCACCATTTCAATGACCAAAGAGAGACATTTTAATTGCTAACAGCATTTAGAAATTGCTGTCAGGCTAGTAGCAGCAATTAAAAACAGTTGTAATATTGGGGTCTTGTTTTGGTCCTTGCTTTTTATTACCCTTCTTATTCCTGTGCTTTCTTATGTTCTTTCTTAATTTTATCTTGTAATTTGCAGGTTGTGCAAGTGAGTGCTTGCCATGGATCCAAGTGAACAAAACATAGGACGAGCCCGTGGGAGAGCTCGGGGCCGTGCTCGAGGTGCTACTCCTTCCACTCAAGAGCAACCACCAGCTCCTCTGGTAAAATATTTGGTGATGGGTGACATGCTTCAGATCAATTTTAGCAAGACCTGTAATGCTTAGGCAACTGCTAGATTCAGCTGCCAATATATCATCTGCTCCAGTGGCTATAGGCACATTTTCTCATTGTCAATCCAGATGCTCCCATGCAAAGTAATGAGAGAGGTGCACATGCACTTATTAATGTCATGTCAGACTCCTTCCCCTCTTTTCCAAGGAGAGGGACTGGTGTTTCCAGCTTCTCTGCAGAAAAAAAAACTAAAGTAATGCTTGGTGTGATTCAACCCCTCTCTTGGGCATGTAATTTAAAGTCAAATCTTAATCAGTAAGCTCTTTCTGCACCTGAGACCATAAAATCATAATTTGGCATTGTCCATATAGCCAAATTTTCAATCTCTTTGCATAAAATGTAGGCCTGAAGGTAATACATCTCTGACTCTGACAATAGGTTTTTCTTTAATCTCTGGCAAAATTAAATTTTCAAGTACATGGTTCAGCCTTACTCTGCTCCAGCATCTGCATCAAATTATGGCACAGGACCTTGTTGCATGTGCACTTATTTTCCAAGGAAACCAACATGTGTTTTCATTGTCTCCCATGCAAACATCTTTGCAGATGTTTGTAAGAAAAAAAAGTAATTCTCTAAGTTAACAAAAAAGAAAGCAGCATACAAGTGTTGCAGCTGAAACTTATCTACCATTGAAAAGAGGTTTAAATTCTGGAATGACCATCAAAATTTTGCCTGAACATGAAATTTCACCCTGCAGCAATTTAAAAGCAATGCTGAAATTTTCCACCATCTGCCTAAACACAATTTCGAAGCTGCAGCCACAAATCCTCCATGCTTGCATTGATAAGCTATTGAGACACATCCTCCAGCACAGCTGGATGTCAACTGTTGATTGACTACTTGCATGTAACAGGTATTGACTTGTGTGTCAGTTTTTGCAGCTTTGTTTGCCACTGCATGCCCGATGTCTCATTTCACACACATGCAAAGAATTCAGTTGCCCCTCCAGAAGTATATAACTTTCTGCCATTGCCCCTGATTGCTACTTTCTATTTTGCTTAATTTAAAGCATTACTTTTTTTAATGAACATATATAGAGGCTGTACTCCTTTACTACATAGTACTGTGTTTTTCACATCCCGCTTGCTCAGAACATTGCACACAATTTATAACATCACCCTGAAACTAGCACATCACAAAAACCCAATACCCAGTTCCAGCAACCAGATTTTCACTGACTCCCATTAGAAAGGATCCCATCTACAAGCCAAGCTAAGTACCTTTGGAAACTTTTACCCTATCCTAGAATTAAATATCAGATTTAAACCTGAACCAGATCTTAAATCCAATTTCATTGAATCCAAATATGAACTAAAGTCATAAAAATGTACAGGTTAAATTCAGATTTTTTTTTCTGAAGATAGGTAATTATGATGTGATTTGATCTGACACTACAGTTATAACTGGCATTCAACAGTCATTTGGTTTCTATCGAAAGCAGTTTCTGCCTTGCAGAACTCTTCTCAACATTAGCTATTGTAGATGGTGTTTTTACTCTCAATTCCCAAATGAATCATTTATGAAGTGCTCATTATGTAATGTGCAGGAATCACATTTTGATGCAAGAAAAAAATCAGCTCAGCAATTGCTGCTTTCTTGAAAAACCAAGCAATACTCTGGGTTTTTCAGGAATGCATCCTGAGCATATTGCGAGGTATTACTGTACCAAACAGAAGGAAAGCTTGCTTTCTATATATTACACTATTGTGAACATAAAAGTGTAACTCAAGGTAGTGAAGTGTGCAAGAAGCACTTCTTCCTACTTCCTAATGATCCTGTGGCATCACCACTGTACTTGATTCCCACCTTCCAGTGAGGTATGCCATAGACTTGAATCAATAGTATACATTTTAGTGTCTATTGGGTTCTTGCATGTTTTCAGACATGCTTTTTCATGTCATTGAACCATGTTTTTTTAAGCTAGACTGATGTTATCCAAGTTGTGTTGCATCATTGAGATATATAAATATAGGAATACTGCTCATGTTGCAGGCTCAAGCTCCTTCTGCTGGGGGTCGAGCTCATCATCGTGGAGGGGCCCCTCGTCCTGGTGATATACCAGCTGGTGTTGCTAGTGTTCAGGCTGGAGTTCAAGCTTTGGCCCTCTGTAAGTAAAAGGTTTTTGCTTCATGCATTTGAGGAATAGAACTTTGTAAACATTTGGATTTTAAGTTTTGGATTATAAGAACTTTGTTTTATAAGTTGTGTTCCATGTTTTAGTAACATTTCCCTGTGTCAACAGCTTCTGCAAATGGATCTGGGAATGGAGCAAATGGTGGGAATGGAGTTGCTGTTGGGCGTGGAGCAAGCCGTGGTCGACGTGGATTTGCTTTGGCTGGAGAAGCTGCTTTCAGACCACGTCCTGCCAATTGTGATTCAAAGCGAGGTAGGTCTGATTCTTCCTTTATCACTACAGGTTTTTGTTGGATTTTTTTTCTTGTTTTTCCTCTGTTATTCCTGAAATGAATAGTGTGCCTCCTCATTCACAGGTGAAATGGGGAACCGAGTGAATCTGAAAGCAAATTATATTCCACTGACTCGAAAAGAACAACCTTTTACTATCCAGCAGTATCGGGTTGACTTTGAGCCAGAAGAGGATCGTATAGGCATTCGCAAGGCTCTACTTGGTCCGCATCGTGACAAGTTTGGAGGCTACCTCTTTGATGGAACTGTTCTCTTCTGCTTCAATCGTGTTACACCAGATGTATGTCTACCATTTTTTATTTATTTATTAGGATAGAGTAACCTAGTCTGTGGGTGTTGGGGGCTGAAGGGGTGATACAATACAGTATGGATGAGGCATTCAGCAAACTTACTAGCCTGCTTATTAAGTTTGATGCAATGTATTTGTGTTTCATTATGGTTGATTTGTATTCATTCAGTACTTCTCTCTTTCCCAGTTGTTTTATCCTAGGTTGAGATATTAGATTTGAAGTAAAATTAGGGCTGCAGGTTCAATTAGATTAATTACCTAAAAAATTAAATGAAGTTTTAGTCATAAAAATTTCATTTAGCTTGTAATTTAATTGACTTCTGTATCTCCACTGCCTGTTTATCTCATTCAATATCACTGCATATTGATAGTCTTGTGGAAAGGTCCCAGATGAAGATTTAGATTTCAATCAGATCAATGATGGCTTGTAGAAGCCAGGCAGTTTTGTGTGACTTTTACTTGGCTTCAGATATTTTTTTTTGTGAAAGATGAAAACTCAAGTAATGCAGAAAGAAGCAATACTTTAGTATGAATATATAACAAGCATCTACTATCTTCCATGACAAGTGGTGTAAAGGTAGTTGCTGTCCCAACTGTGATTTGAATGTAAAAAATCTTGTATACTGGGGGTCATGAACTTATTAATAAAAAATTCCTGCAGACTATGTCTTACAGTCTATGAGACTCCCCTCTTCAAGTTTTAGGAGGAAGGATGTAATGACCCCTCAGACAAATTCAGTATCTCTCTTACTGCTAAGCAAGAAAGCTGTTTAATAGCTCATTTTAAAACAAGAAGCAGGGTAATCATAACTTATCCCTTGAGATTTTCTTTGTCCCAATTCAGAAAAGTTTAAAATTGTTTGTAATTTCTGAAAATTTTCTCACATTTTCGATCTAAAATAATCTACAGTAAGAGTGTTTTTAATTTGTCCATCTTTGGGGTGTAGTTCATGCCACCCTGTAGGTGTGCAATTTGGTGGTTGCAATAAATATATGTATTTTTTTTTATTACTCTAAATCTTGGTTAAAGAGTTAGTTGCATGACTTCCCAAATAAAATTGCTGCTAGAGAATTACTCCCTATGGCTAAGTCCAATCTTCTTTGTTTTGTACGTGAGGCAGTTTTTAATTCCAGACTTCTGTGAAAGCCAAGTGTAATGGAAACTGCCATTTCTGGACGTGACTTTGAAATGCAAGTCTAACACTCATGTTCACAACACCATGTGGACCTAAGTTTAGTATACATGTAGCATGGGTGGCCAACCCACAACACCAAGCAGTGACAGTGTGGCTCACTGTGAAATGCTCCAGACTCTTAAGTCTATTCATGTAAAGTGGTATGTGTCTTGTGGTTCTTGGCCACATGATTTTGTTATATGTATGTATAGGTTTCCAGAACTTGTAGAAACTTGTAGAAAACACTGCTCTTTCAGCTTTGTCATTATTTTACTACTCCAATTGCAATTATGGCATTTCCAGATACATTTAGACACTTTTTTTGTATCATATGTATGGTAAGGTAGGAGTCAGTATCAATATTCAATACCTAGACTCATAAATATATTCTGGGGAATCCTTTAAAGAAAATGTAGTCATTCGATCTGTCTCAGTTCTCAGTTTAGGTCAATATCAGTTTTTAGTTTGCCATCACTGTGTTTGTTCTTGTATTTATTTTTTTGAGTTGGTGTCTTTTTCTTGTTTATTCAACAGCCATCGCATCCTCAGGAGTTTTTCTCTCAGCGTCAGCATGATGGACAAAACATGAAGATTACAGTTCGACATGTTGGTGAGATCACTAGTGGTGACATTGCCATGATCCAGATCTTCAACATCCTTGTCCGCCAGTGCAGTGAATCCTTGGGGTTGAAGTTACTTGGCCGCAATTACTTTGACATGAAAAATCTGTATCCAGTCGAAAAACATGGCCTCGAAGTGGCAAAGGGGTTTGTCACTTCCATCTCTCAGCGTGAGGATCGTATCATGATGTGCGCTGAGGTCTGCCACAAAGTCATGAGGAGAGACACTGTACTGCATCAGATGGAAAACATCATGAGGAACTGCAGGGATAATCAATCCCAATTCCAAGTAAAGTAGACTTTCATTGCTTTTTCGAAATTACTATCATTTTGCTAGGCAAGTTTTTATATTGCAAGAATCAGGTTTTATGCCTGACTGGTAACTGGAAGAAGTAATTGACAAAGAAAGATTAAATATCTCTTCAGAGAGGAAAATGGAAACTTAAAATGAATTATAGTGTGGTAAGACCATACTCAGGAGCATCTATACTGGGCCTTGTGTTGTGTGCTCCTCCAATAAATAAGAAATTGAAACTAATGTAATTGCATATTCATGAATTTCTAGGAAGAAGCCTTTCGCCTTTTGGTGGGCTCAATTGTCATCACAAGATACAATGACAAGACATATCGCATTGATGATGTTGCTTGGAACTTGAGCGTGAACCATACTTTCAAGAAAGGGGACCAGGAGATTAGTTATGTGGATTATTATTGGCAGGTGAGGTTTCAAACTTCCCATTCCATTATGCTCTTGAGCATCAGTGGTACCTTCCTGCTTAGGAACCAATCAAGAATGATTTTTTTTTTATGACTTTGCATATGGATTTATACTTACAGAGGGGCTTCAAGGTCTTATTCAATTTCTCATGTGAGTTTTGTGAATAAAATTTGTGCCATTGGCATGTGCATGGTTGTCAGCTTGCATGGTATTAAAGAACTGCCCTGTATAGGGCATTAAACTCAAAATAATATCAGTTATGTTCCAGATCACTTTCACTCTATTCATGACTTCTGGTCCAATTCTGGTTCCACCCATAAATTTTTTTTTTTTAACCTCCTCATATAGAGGAAAAACAAAAGGCATAAGATTTGCCCTATACATGCTGCTTGTGTCTTAAGTGCTTGTGTAACTTTCATGCTGGTTTAAAAATAACTGGTATACTTTTTTTTCCCTGCGTTTTTTTGCACACCTATTGAGACAAGATTTGCATAATTTAGGCCCCTACAAAGTACTAACTGGATCTGCTTGCTGAACCCATCTCTCAATGCCTAGGCCCAATCATTAGCTAAAGAATTTTTTACTTTTAATTTATTTTGCTGAGTTAAAAATTGAAATGGACTCTGCATAATTTTTTGCTCATTTTACTTGCATCAACTTTTTATATTCCATTGCAGTTTGATCATGTTTTAGGAAATTTGAGAGGCATAAATATGCTCCAAACAGTATACTAAACAGTAATTCAGTATACATTAAACAAAGTTATTGCACGAGAATTAACTTTTCCTGAGATCCATTTATCTTCATATAGAATCAGATTATTTTCTATTTTTTAAATCTAATATACTATTTAATAAGAATAAAGAGACCAAGTTATTCATTGTTGGGTTTAACTTTAATAATTGTACTTGGCTTTTAACTTTTAGCTTGCAGATCCAATCATATGAAGTGCCTTACTTTTTTTTTTTACTGCGCCTGTTAAGTAAAGTCCAAGTCTTGTCTTTTGTGCATATTGAGAAACTAGTCCTAGTCCTAGTATACTATCTTCTGAACTTTGAATGTTTGGTCATGAGTTCAAACTCACGACTGTGTCTCTCATTTTCCCAATGCATGCAGTAGCTGATATATTCACACATATGTCGTTTCTTATTATGTCCCAGACATACCAAATCAAGATCAAGGCAACTGGACAGCCTCTTCTTGTGTCTCGTCCTAAGAAGAGGGAGCAGCGACGAGGGCAGGTAGAGGTCCTTCACCTTGTCCCTGAGCTCTGCTACATGACAGGTCTCACAGACCAAATGAGGTAAGATTCATAAAATCCAGGGCTCTTCAGTTTGGTTTTATCTTTTCTAATTTTGGAAGGTGAGGTCCTACATTTGACCCATTTTCAGGGCCGACTTCGGGATGATGTCGGACTTAAACAAGGTGACGTGCTTGAGTCCTGACAAGCGGGTGCAGTCCATTCTTCACTTCCTTAATCAGCTTACTAAGAATGAGCGTGTGCACGACAACATGCACCGTTGGGGGCTTGACTTTGCTCAGGACATGGTGTCCTTCCAAGGACGTGTTTTGCCAGTTGAGAAAATTTTCCAAAGGGACAGGTCTTACATGTACAACCAGGATGAGGCCGATTGGAGCCGTGAAGTTCGAAGTGAGTTTCCTGCTTTCTGGTACATCACGGAATGGGGAACAAGAGATGCACATTCCTTATGAGGCTGTTTGACCTTTAATTCTTGTGTAGACTATGCCCTGGAAAGAGCCAAGAACCTGCAGAACTGGGTTGTGTTGTCAACTCAGAGGGATGCTGACAAAGCCAGTGACCTCGTGAAGAACCTCCGTCAAGTCATGCCAAGGATGGGCATGAATTTGTCACCTCCAAAGATGTGAGAATACTTTATTCACTCACTTTTCCCCAGCCTTTAGTTGGGAAGAATGCTTAATTTCTTCCTTTGCAGGATCACCCTACAAGATGATCGGGCCAACACATTTGCTGCTGCACTCCAGCGGGAAATTCGACCTGGTGTTGAAATGGTGGTCTGTGTGGTGCCTAACAACCGGAAGGAGCGCTACGACATGATCAAAAAGACAGCCTGCATTGACTCCCCAGTTCCTTCTCAGGTTGTCCTGGCCAAGACTCTCTCCAAGCCCAAGGGATTGATGAGTGTTGCCACCAAGATTGCCATGCAGATTAATTGCAAGATGGGTGGCGCACTGTGGCGTGTGGATATGCCTCTCAAGGTAACACAGATTCATGTGCATGGAGAAGATGGCAGTGGCAGTCATGTCATGGCTGACCTGTCATATTATATTGCTAGGTCCTTAATGGTTGCTTGATATGTTGAGTGGTGGATTGATTGTGACTGAGTATGCACTTCTTTCCCAGGATACAATGATAGTTGGATACGATGCTTACCATGATTCATCACAAAAGGGAACATCTGTTGGTGCTGTGGTCGCCACTACCAATGCAGAGTACACTGATTATACCTCCTTTGTGAGCTTCCACAAGAACCGAGAGGAGCTCAGCAACAACTTCAAAATGGCCATTACAAGTCAGTGCTCCGAAATGCTTTGATCTAGGAGTTTAGCTGTCTGTTAGGACTATATGGGACCAGACAAATGTACCCCAATTAATGCTGGTCCTGATTATTGAAGACCTGATGGTGATTTTTTTTTTGGTCAGACTGGTCCATGGGACCAAAGAATTTATTTATATTAATCCCTCAAGTGGTTGGATTTTGAATACCCTGGCAATAAGACATTCATTTAAATTATTACTTATTCTCAGTTTCACAGCCATAACAGCCATTCTGTCCATAATGGTGTTGCTATATATTTCTGAACATGCTCTGCACATAGGTCCAAAGAGTCCCAAAATTAGACAATAGATGGCAAAGCTATGACAGTTCATATATGTTGGTGTGAAAATCATACAGTGCTTGGAAAAACCCTGAGGGGTTAAGGTAAGATCTGATTAATGAGATAATTTTCATGTCAGCTATATGAAGTTTCTGCCAGAAAAATTCATATTACCTGCCCTCATGAGAAGGATGAATTGAATCAGATGACTGGAATTCTTATTTTCTGGCCACTGCATTTCAGAGGTATTGCGGGTGTACCAGCAGAAGCGTGGAGGTCCTCCTCGCCGTCTCATCATCTTCCGAGATGGGGTTGGTGAAGGTCAGCTGAACTTCGTCAAGGACCAAGAGGTTGAAGAAATCAAAAAGACACTCAAGGTCTCTCTTCCTCCCTTTACTTTTTTTGTGTTTTCTATAACATGTGCATGATTTGTATTGGCATTATTCATTCAACAGGAGGGAATGGGAGGACAGCTGCCAGGTATAGCATTCATTGTTGTCACAAAACGTATCAACACACGTTTCTTCATGCCTGAAAATGGGGGTGTGCGTAACCCCAAGCCTGGCACCGTTGTTGATGATGTCATCACTGACCCACTATAGTAAGGACTATTCCACTTTCCAGTAGCATTCACTATTGTGATTTTGATTATGGAGCTCAGTCATGCTCATGACTCCATGTTTTTCTTCCTAGCTATGACTACTTTCTGGTATCTCAGAGTGTTCGCCAGGGCACTGTTGCTCCAACCATGTTCAACGTCCTTGAGGATACATCTGGACTCAAACCTGACTATCTCCATCGTCTGTCATACAAATTGTGCCATCTGTATTACAACTGGCCTGTAAGTTCTTATTCTCTCCTAGGCACTGGTTCTTGGTAAAATTCATTTTTGGTTTCTCTTCCTTAACTCTCTTGCTGCATAATTTAATAGACATGGGATGGGGAGTACTAGCTCTTGTGTGAGAAAAGTCTACCACTGCAGCAAAAGAGTTAACGAGAGTTTAGGAAATTTTGGTGTTATATTGTTATCCTGCTCCTGTGTTCCAGGGTACCATCCGAGTGCCAGCTCCTTGTATGTATGCTCACAAGTTAGCTTTTTTGGTGGGACAGTCACTCCATCGTGTCCCAGCTGCTCAATTGGAAAACAATCTCTTCTACTTGTAAGAGGAATTGCTTTGATTTCTGTATCTGCCCCTGGCATCTACCTCGAAACTCCATACCTCATTTGCTCTTCTTTTCTTCGGGTTCTACTCTCCCTCTATGTTGTCAGATGATGGCTTCAGTATAGCCAGGTCTCACTAATGCTCTTGGTTTCCCCATTCCATTAGCCCAGATGGTAAATTGTTCATGATCCTCTTTCCTTTGCAGTAGTGTGCAGCACATTGCACTTTGTGTCTCTTTCCTTTGTGCTGAAAAGTGGCTGGGGATATGTGATACCATGTGTGTGATGTGTTTCTTCAGTTTGCAGATTCCTGTGGGCATATTGTCTTTCTGTCTTCAGTTGTTGAAAGTCCTTGTTACAGATATAGCAAAAATTGAGCCAAGAAGATACCAAGTCTAAACAGGAAGTATTCAGTTATATATGGAAGATATAGTTATACTAGAAAATGTGATTTGACTTGAAATAGGTATAGTAATATCTGTGAGTGTGATTGGACTGCATTGTCACTGTTCTATGATGGATGAAGATAAACCTTCTCTCTTTGGATCTCTGCTGTGGCCCTGAATGAGGGTGCGATTGTGAGGTTCTTCCTGATTACATCAGAAATCTTCTGTGGAGTCTGTATTGCATTATTTCCCATTAGTCTTTGTACAGTTGTCATACACTGAAATTGCGAATCAGGAGAAAGATACAAGATCTCCAGGAATTGAATGACCTAGATGGTAAACTCTTTTTAAAGTGCACCCTGACTGCCTTTATCTTTATTATGGGGAAATGCCTTTTGTAGCAAATTCCTTAGCAACTCTTGAGATTGTGAAGTCAGTTTGCTCACCTAAGCAACGAAGTACTGTTTTTTGTTTTCCAAAATAATATTCAAGATGAAGCCCTTCTGCTTGTAAATGAATGTATACCAGTGGATCATTCCTTTCCTGAAGAAGGGATAAGACCGGAAGAGCAACATGTCATTCTCCTGTCAAGCAACACTGGGAATGTAGTGCACTTTCTTCAGAGAACCGTTGCAATCAATTGCTTCCTCTTGTGTTCCTATGGGTGAGCCTGAATTTCGCTAGTTCCTCGTTTCGCATTGTTTCACTGTCACTGAGTTGCCTAAACTCAATGAATTAAGAACACGACTTATGAAGTTATGGAGTAGTTTAAAGAGGACATTTTTCTAACTCAACAATGTGAAATTGTCCAGAAATCGGCAAAATTCAGGGGACTAGGGCGATATATTGTGTCGACAATCGTCGATCTTATAATCATGAGACTTTTTGGACAAGAATTAAGGCCAGGTGCTGCCTCGGGTCAAAGTGCACTAGAATAATTCCAAGATATTTCATTACCCTGCCCTGTTAAAAGGAGAAAAATAAGGACGATACCTTGGATTACTCTCAAGCCCGGAAGTTTCACTGAGAACTCCTTGTGTCGCCGTTGGATGGGGCAAACTATATGCAGTATAAGTTACATATACAGTCAACTCTTGATATACCGCCACTGTTGGTCTTCGCTGGTTTTGGCGATAAATTGAAACACATGGCTTTACGAGTGAAGTGAACATTTTTTTGTACATTAAATATGCACAAAAAATCACTATAATTCATCCACGCTGCCAATCCATCCGCACCTCAGAATACACAAACTACAGAGCTTTGAAAAATGATTCCATCCATGATGAAATCCACTGCATTATTTTCAATGAGAAAACTTTCTATGAACCGTCTGCTCCCTTTATTGTCCCAAAACACTGAAAATTTATTCACAAAAGTTTTGCTGATTTTCGACAACGTGCCCTTCCCTCTAATGGCACGCTTAAAAATTTTCCTTCGCACTTGAAACCGTTCTTTTCCCCATTACTGGATAGTGAACAAAGGTGAACTATCGTCTGGAGAAGCTGCGTATTATCAGAATGAGAGGATTAGGCCGGATTATGTGACCCTATACGCCCCCCTCTAATCCCTGGAGGTCCATTCTAATGCAGTCATCCCTCACAATCTTGCTATCATGCGACCGAAAGGAGCAGCTGGCAGCATTCATCCTTGTACACGGTATGATGCGGCCGGTACAGTATGCTGCTTGGCGCAATATCGAGTAAGACATACGTAGAATAACACGTTTGTGCAAGTTAAGGTGTTGGCGGATGGCGACTTGCGAGGGTGGCGCTTTAACTGGGGAATGCCTGTGGTTAGCCTATAGGGAAGATTCGTTCTCGGGAAAGATGCCGATAAGCGAGAGTGGCGGTATATCGAGGGTTGACGGGGTTGACTCTATATTCTGTTTCTCACTAACTGAAGGGTTCGTGTCCGTCTGGGGGCTTCGCAGGGATGAAGAGGCGTTTGGAACATGCGTTTTTGTCTGCCTCAGGTTTTCTCCCTTACCGTCGAGAGTGCACGGCTCGTTTCTGGGATGGGATTCGGTCTCCCCCGCAGGATCTGTATCTCTTTAACGATCTTAAATGCAAGAGATCGATCGAGAAACAAGACGAAGCGAATGACTATTTGAGAGTCGTGGCGCCCAAATGAGGGCCAAGCGAGCATCGTTTCACGGCGGGTACCCTCATCGCCACGTGCGGATCGCAGTGCCACGTGCAGCATCGGCTGGATGCAAACACGTGTGATTGCCAGATAAGACTGGCGTCGTGCCCGATGCCCTGACGGGGCAATGGGTCCGATTCAACTTTCCGACAGGTTTCTTTCAGCACATTCAGACCTTGTGGCCTCCGAATTCATCTCATCGTCTTCGTGAATTAGAACGCATGCAAATCTTCACAATAATTTGCATAGAGTTGGGTAGTAATACAAGTAAAAGTAAGGCATTACAGTAATTACACTACTTTTCCTAGTAAAGCAGTGGCGGCTCGTGGGTAAAAAAATTGGGTAGGCAGCAGTGGTGCAAAAAAAAGTGGGGGGGGGGGACGGTCACCCCCAATGATTCCTTTGCACCTATATGCAGTGTTGGGCGCGTTACTTGTGAAAAGTAACTAGTTACAATTACAAGTATTTCATCCCAAAAGTAATTAGTTACCAGTAAAATTACTTCTCACCAAAAGTAACTAGTTACAAGTAGAAGT